ATTATTAACATGATACATAATGTAACTATTGAGTATAGGAACAACAGAACCAGTGAGCCATTCTTACCAGGAGGAGGAGGAGGAGGAAGACAATGAGGATCAAGTTATGTTGCTACAGGAGAAATTTGAAAATATTCAAAAGCAACTGGAGGAAGAAAAGGAACTCCATAAAAAAGAGAAACAATTTCATGAACAAGTTACACAGAAATATAAAGAAGAAATACTTCAACTGAAGGAGGACCTCATTCAAAAAGAAAAGAGACTAACAACACTTACTGAACAAGAGGAGGAAGTTACTGGAGACTTGAAACACAAGACAGAGCAATATGAAGAATTAAGATCAGGTTATTTCATGTTATATATTAATAATTATTATTGATTGATATACTCCAATTATTATTATTATACTATAGACAATGAACTTACTCATAAACAACTGGAGGAACTTCAAGAAAAGTTAAAGGAAGAAATAAAAACGTCCTCCAGTTTAATGAAACAGAATCAAGTTGCTCTAAGAGAGAAAGAGGAATTACAAAGAAAGATTGATGATCTTCAACAAGAATTAGAACTACAGCAAGCCAAAGATTACAAGGAAGTATCAGGTACAGGTATGTACACTATCACCCAGCCAGGTATGTGTGTGTGTGTGTGTGTGTGTGTGTGTGCGCTGAAATGGTGTTAATGATATTTATTAATGATATTATTAATTGTTATATTAATTATATTCATGTACGGTACATTGTCATTCACTGTAGGTTTACATGAATTACCTACTGGACAATATACAATGAATAATGATGAAGAATATGATATTAATGGTATGTTGTTGTTTGTGAAGCTACTGTTGACATGTTTATTAATTATCATTATTTTTAGTAAAAGATTCAAATGATAAAGTTGAGACTCAAATTGAAACTGAAAACAAAGAAATACAAACAACAAAAATAAGTATGTAATAATGATATTTATTTATTTATTATCACTTTTACACTTTAGCTCTTGACAAAGAAATTCAGTTCAACTATCTTGTACCATCACAAGGTTAGTCACTGTACTATTATAGTACATGGTCAAATTTTGCCAAAATTGAAAAATAGAGAATTCTCTATTTTTATAATTTATTCTGATGCATATACATGTACTTATGTTGTGTAGAAAGTTTGGGCTAATTCTGATCAAAATTAGATTTTTATGAATTTTAAAAGTTGCTCCAAAATTGGACAAAAGTCCCTGTACTATAAAAAAATTTAAAAAAACAAGGTTAAGTACGATTCCGAATGACCAACGAAAATACAAAATGAAAATCCTACTCGTGACGCAAATTCTACTCTACATTGTACTTTCAATCTTATTATGTAAGAATTATGGATCACCTTGCAATGTAGAGTAGAATTTGCGTCACAAGTAGGATTTTCATTTTGTATTTTCGTTGGTCATTCGAAATCCTACTTAACCTTGTTTTTTTAAATTTTTTATGTTCTTGTTTGTGTTGATTTTTTTAATGATATTTATAATATTTCTTTAGTTGCCATTGTGATGCTTGTTGATTTTACACAAACAATAATTTTCTTTATTATTATTATCATTGTTATGACTTTACATAGTCATTTATGACTGAGAGACAGCATGAATAGACATATG